TATAATTTTTATAAAATTTTCTCAAGATGTGTATGAAATGGCTAGATGTAAATCACATTTTCAAAATGATCTTATGATTAGGTGTATTTATTAGATAATAACATAAAACAGGATCAATGAGCCCTTGTGACAAGAAAGAATTTCTTGAGCTATAAGGACATCAGAGGACAAAGATACTAAAAATTTCTCTCTAAACTACTTTTTGTTCCAAGCTGGAGGGACAGAGACAGGATATCATTTTGTTCCAGTATTTGAAACAATGATGTGATATTTCAGTGATGTGATGCTTCAGTGATGTGAGTTTGAAGGATATTCCTAGGAGCTATCTCTACTCTTTGCTTCTCCCTGTTTGACAGAATTCAGTATGGCTATATCTATGTTGCACCCAGGAAGCAGATAGCTCAAAATATCATGGCAAAAATTGTCATTCTAGATGATTCACAAAATGTCATCAAGTCTCTTGATGAACCTCCATGTTGTTATCTTAGTTACCTTGTTATTACTGAGATAAGATACCATGACCAAGACAAATTATAGATAAAAGTTTATTGGGACTCATGGTTCCATGGTTTAGAGTCTATGACCATTGTGGGGTGGAACACAACAGCAGGCAAGCAGGGATTAAACTGTTGCAGTAGCTGAGAGCTTATATTCTCATCCATAAGCACTAAGCAGAGAGAATGAATTCGTTTGAAGCAGTTTGGGTGTTTTGAAATCTCAAAGCCTTGCCCTCAGTGACATACCTTCATCAACAGGGCAACATCTCCCAATCTTTCCCAAACAGCTTTATTAACTGGTGACCAAGTATGAAAAGATGAGCCTATGGCAGCCTTCTCATTCAAACCAGCACATGGTGGAAAAGAAGGATCAGTAGCTACCACATTTTCTGGCCAGTAGTCTTACATTTTGTCAACATTTGTAAATAAAGATAAAGTTGCATAATACAATTTGTTCTGACATAAACCATAATAGACTAGGTGCGAAAAAAATATTCTGGCATGTTCTGACAAGGGGTCCAAGGAAGTGACCTCAGCATCATTCCAACTATAGGAGTCCACACCTCATGTTCACAAAGAGCTCAGGGCAGAAGCTGTAGTGTTTGTTTGTTTGTTTAACTTAACACAATGGCCTGTGATAGAAACCATTCTCAATTTGTATACCAGTGTTCAGCCTCTTCTAACTACTGTAATAGTTTTGCTTTTGAGTTATTGAAATTTTGAGTTCTTATCTTTTAGGTTTATACCAGCATATGGGAATCAGCTGAATAGAACATTGCTCTCCATTCAAATGGCTTTTACTTTCCTCAACTTCCTTCCTTTGAGGTAAGTCTTCAAGGCTAGAGACTTCTGACACATAAATCTTGTCATAGAGTGCAACTGGTCTTTACCACCATCCTCAATCTACCTTATTTTTATGATGTCTAGAGGAACCTGTCTGCACATTCTGGCAAAAGTTTGAGGCTCTTGACACAGTAATCACTTGAGAGAGGTATTTCAAGGTGTTTCACCTTTATGGAGTATTTTTCACAAGATAAGACATACCGTGATGGAAGCAGCTCTAACTGCATAAACTGTGTCACCACTGAGTTTAACTTCTCTAAAAACTAACATTCATTTCAGTGTCACACAGCTGTGAGGTCATAGAATATCTATGCTAATGAGATCATATAAAAGGAAACAGGCTTGCAAATCAGTGGTAAATTAAGTAATAGCATAGATTTTAGAACAATTATCTTGGATTAAAGTATTTCACAAAAATTATAACAGTGAATAAGAACTTGATGACTTTCTTTTTGTCAATGTTGTCTTCACATTCATTAAAAGTATCTCTGGGTTTGAAGTCTAATTTCCTGTGATCTCTTTGTTTCTTCCATCGATTAAACAAGTTGACATAGAAAAGTAATGGGTACTCAAAGATCTTCCACTGTCAGCAATTCAAAAATACTTACCTGATATCCTGGCCTTTGAGTCAAAAGATGTCAATGTGCCTTTTGAAGTTACTGAATGACACATATTATCTACAATACACTGAACAGAAGTTGGCATCAAAGGAAAAGAACTTGCTAAAGGCTCATGATAATGACTGAAAGAAGAAAAAAGATTGTTCCTAATTTTGCCATTATTTCTTTGTACTTCACTTTTATCCTCTATCCCACCAGGGTCTTAAATTGTGTCTGAAAGTTTTCTACTGTCTAGCAATTTATTCTAGTTTACTTTCATTTCCTGATAAAATATACTCAGAAAGCAACTTAAGGAAGGAAGTGTTTATTTCTGCTCACCATTCAAGATTACAATTCTTCATGGCAGGAATCTCAGTAACAGGATCTTGAGGGATCTCAAAAGTGTCATGGTACCCATATCCAAGAGACTGAGCAATGGATACATGCACTCAACTCACTTTCTTCTCTTAAAACAGTCCAGTAATTCATCCTAGGGAATGGTATCATTAATGGGGATGTCTTCTAGATCAATGAATCTTACAACCACTCTGTTCTAGCTGGTTTTATGCCAATTTGACATAAGCTAGTATTATTTGAGCAGGTGGATCCTTATTTGAAAAAGTTTCACTACAAGTTTGACTTGTGAAATAGCTGTGGTACATTTATCTCCTTGATTGATGATTGATATTGGAAATTTCACTTCACAGTGTGTGGTGCCAGTCATGGGTTGGTGGCCCTGGACCTGACATATATTACAGAGATGTCCAAGTAAGGCATGCTGAGCAAGCCAGTAAACAGCACTCCTCCATGTTCTCTGCTGCCACTTGGATCCTGCCTTGAGTTTCAATCCTCACTTTCCTGGATGATGGACAGATAATTGGAATTGTAAGCTGAAATAAACTTTTATCCTCTACAAGCTTCTTTTGGTGATGGTATTTTATCATAGTAAAAGAAACCCAGACTGAAAAACACCCTTATGAACATGCTAATCTAACCTAGATTATTCCTTTCAGGTGTGCATAGAAGTGTGTTCCATATGATTACAGGTCCTGTCTGCTTTACATTTAACAAAGTTGACAGTTACTCACACATTTGTTTCACCCAAGGACAAGCACGTGCTGCATGCAATCTTGAGAGAGAGAGAGACAGAGAGACATACAAATGCCTGAAGGATTTCTGAACATAGCTCAGATTCCTTTCCCAGAATTTCTGAATTAGTAGTTCCAGATGAAGCCTAAGTGGTTTCTACATAATATATTTTTAGTTGTTGTAATTGGTCTGGTCCTTGAAACAAATATTTAGTATTGTCAGGTGCCCTGAAAATAGTAATTAAGTGTTCTTTACCTACCATAATTTAAGGTCCTTATAAAAGTTTATATACTCTTCATTAGTTAGTTTTGACTTTTCCTCTTTATTTAAAAAAGAATAGTTAGGTGTATTCATGAAGGTGTGATATATACATGTGAGTGCGAGTTTCCCAAGGGGCAAGAGGAAAGTGTCAGGTATCATAGAGATAGAGACAATAATAATTGAATCACGCCATATGTAAGTTTGGAACTAACTCCAAGTCCTCTGTATGAGCAATATGTGGTCTTAATCATTGAGCCTCTTCTGCATCCTCTAGTTTATTTTTATATGTTGTCAGTTACTATTCTGAACTTTGATTTCACACACACACACACACACACACACACACACACACACACCCACACCAAGCATTTAGAAGTAAAACTTTGCGTCTTCTTTAATGAGCCTTTAAGATTGCAAAAAAAAAAAAAAAAAAAAAAAAAACAACCAAAAGAGTATTGTGTGTGGGACAGGCCTAAAATCTCACATACCTAGTAGTCTAAAACAAACAACTGAGCAAAATATTATTCGAATTAAAAAAAAAACCACAGGGGTTGCAGATGCTGCTTTATTGGTAGAGTTCCATCTTTAGCACCACATGAAGGGGATTGTGGGCATGCACAACTATAAACCCAGTACTCAGGAAGTAAAGGCAGAGGGATTAGCAGTTTAAGAGAGTTCAAGACCACCCTGGATTACATGAGATCCTGTACTAAAATAATGAATTAACTGCAATTAATTAAAACAAAAAGGACTATAGATATAGCTTACTGATAGAGTGGTTTCCTAACATGAGAATGTCTTTAGGTTCAATCTCAAGTAACACACATACACACACACACAAACAGATACATACATACATACATATACACATACACACACATATACACACAGTCAGATACACATATACACACATACACACAGTCACATACACATTCACACACAAGAGGGGCATATATACACACTTATAGAGACATGCACATTTTGATGGTTAGGGTTAAAGGTTCATTTTCTACAACTGCAAATCACCTGGAAAGAGAGTCACTTCAGTCTTTATTAGACTGGCCTGTGGCATGTCTGTAGGAGATTGTCTTGATTCCTGATTGAAGGAGGAAACCCCACTCTGAATGAGTCCACACTGTAGGCTGTGAGCTGAACTGCATAAATGTGAAGACATCTACTTGAAAATAAATAAGGAAAAATGGTTTATTCTCCTTTCTCTTGACTATGGGTGAGAAAGGTGTGACTGGCTAAGCTACTTGAGTTTTTGCCTTAACTTCTCTGAAATGATGGATTCTAATCAAAAGTCAGAAGCCTAATAAATCGCTTGTTTCCAGATGGTTTTCTTTCAACACAGCAACAGAAATTATACTCGGAAAGACACACACACACACACACACACACACACACACACACACACACACACA